GGCCATCTGCGAGGAGCGTGATACCGCGCTGCGGCGGGCCAGCAGCCATCTGCGCGGCTGCCGCCTCGCCGGAACCGGGAACAGGTGCTGGCCCGCCGAGGCGGCGCGGACGGTTCCCGAGGAAGGCTGGCAGTGGACCAGGCGGCCCAAGGCTGGGATCCCAGGCCTAATCGCCCCGCTCAACCCGGCGAGGTCTGGGTCATTGTCCTCCCCGATTGAGTCCAGGACCTCCCCCAGCCCAATCAGTGCCACTTTCCAGGATGGGGCGCATGGGTCAGCCCTCCCCCACCCTGCAGGTCGGTCCCCTTGGGTTCTTCCCATCTTGGGGTTCCTGCGCCCCGCAGGAGTGGCGTTATTTTTCTGAGGTCAGGTATGGACTACGAGCATGGTTGGTGTTTTCCTGCCCTTCCTACCCTAGGTCGGGCCCCCTCTGGCATCAGGGCCTTCCGGGTAGGGGTGCCCCCCCATTCCTGGTTACAACCTCCTGATAAGCTGGAAGCCTTTGGCCCCTTCTTATCTGGGGGCAGGAGCCCTGATGTTCCACCGTCTCCTGGAGTGGGTGGACCCCCCCAAAACCTGGAGCAGGGCTACTGGCTTTCTGTGTAGCTAACTTCCCTTAGGGTGTGGATCTGAGCGTCGTCCACTTTTAATCCCACACGCTGTTAGAGGGTGAAGACCCCCTCCCATCCAGGCCACTGCAGAAATGAGGTGTTAGGCCTGGACCAGGCCTGCCGCCCGCTGGCTGGACTTGACGGGCTCCTGAAGGCCCCGCTGACCCGCCCTGCCTGCCTGGAGCGCGACGGTCCCCGTCCACCCTGGCTTTCGACAATAGGGAGCCCTCCTGGAGGACCACCTGCCTGGGGAGGAGAGGAAAGGGACCCAGGCTTCCCAGCCCAGGCTGCCAGGGATCGACAACACAACAGGACGTGCCTTCCTCGACAGGCCCGCCCCTGGGGCTCCCCACGCCGGCCCTGCTGGCCTGCTGGTCCCAGGAGGGGCCCGGTTAGTACCTTCACTCCGCCCAGCCAGCGGAGCCAGGCAGAGATTGCACCCCCCATCTCAAGTTCCTTTCCTGGGGCCCAGTTATTATTTTTAGATTTCCATTTTCCCTTTTCACTGCCGATCCAAGAGGAACGAAATCCTGCTGGGTAATTCTCTGGGAATTCTGGGGCAGCCATTGGCCTCTTCCTGGGAGGGGCTGAATGGGACCTCCTTTGAAAGGTGCAAAGGACATCTCCTACGGTCCCTGGCGGACACACACACACACACACACACACACACACACACACACATATCCTCGCCCCTGGTGTCAGTTGGGAGAGAGCCTGTAGTTTGGTCCTCGGTGGGTTTTTGTGAAGGTCATTGGGCCATAAACCTTTGTCCAAAGCATTTGTTTAGTACCCACAGGCCTTGTGCGGGCACTGGGGTGCTGGGGTGGGTGGGGCTCTGTGCCTGCTCCCAGGTCACCCAGATGTCAGGAGTGGTGGGCATAGCTGAGGACAGGATAAAAAAGCCCATGGGGGCTTCAAGAGAGAGCAGGTAGAAAGATTCCAAGGAAGAAGGGAGGTGGGAGTTGGGTCATCCAGCTGCGACAGGCCCCATATAGCCTCTGTCCCCAGGGTGGCCATGGTGTGTCACCTCTCTTCCCCATTGCTCTCTGGCTGCCCCCACCCTGGGCCTCCCTTCCTCCTCCCACAGCCATATGCGGTGCTGCGGTCGGGGCCCTCTCCTAGTCCCGGCCAGCCTCGGGTCGATGATCTGACACCACTTGTCCCGTCCCATCTGGCCCTGAGCTTTTCTGGGTGTGTGTGACAAAGGCTTAATCTGTCCGGACGGGCCCAGGGCAGAGAGAGGGCGAGGGGAATTACACTCCGCAGGGCCTCCTGCAGCTGGGGCCCGGGTGGGGGTGGGGCAGGGCGGGGGTCGAGGAGAAGCCTGGGCGTCGGGGGAGAGGCAAGTTGGCCTCCAGTTTGCAGGTTGTCACAGGAAGTAGAAGGTGGAAGCGGGGTATGGAGGGGAGGAGGGCGGAGTCCTCCACGGGCAGCTAGGGGTGCTGGTGGGGATAAGATCTCTTTATGACAAGAGCCAGCTGGGGGCCTCCTGGCCGGGCGAAGCCTGGTGAGGATTTATTATTTCTTACGTTTGGCCTGCTCCAGCCCCTGTGGGCTGCCGAGAGGGGGAAGCAAACCCGTTGGAGACAAGACCCTCCAATTCTGTTCTGGCATTGGCCACAAAGTAAAACAACCCCTTTCCTTTTCCTCTGGCATCTCGGAGTGGAGCCGTCCGCAGAGTCTGCGAGGGCCACAGGTTATGGCTGAGGTGGGTCTCTGGGCTGTCTGTCATTTCCTAGGATCAGAGCGCCCCAAGACTCTGTGGAGAGATAGAGGTGCTCAGCCCAACTGTACCATCTTCCAGATGGGAAAACTGAGGGCTAGAGAGAGGAAGTTTCCATTTGTCGGGAGCTAGGACTGGAACAGGGTTCTCTGTGCACCGCTGTAGCTTCTCTGTGGACCTGTCACATGCCAGGAATCCCATCATTAGAGCCCCATTCCCCAAGGGAAACTTCGAGATTGCCAAACTCCACTCTCAACACCAGGCTTTTGCAAGCTGGACCCCAGGTGTTCCGCTACCCAAATTGACTAATGGTGGTCTTTTCCCAGTTTGCAACAACGTTCATTTAGTGGAAAGCCTTTTCAGTCCTAAGTCTTTCTCCCCAGAGCTTTTGTGTAAACCTTTGACACCTGCGGCCGCTGGTCTGGGCGGGAAATGGCCTCTGACTTAGCACCGCGTAATATGTGCTGTGACCTTTGGTTGAGTCCCTCAACATTTCCTAGTTTTCCCTGAATTATCAGTACAGCAGCTGTTTCGGGGGTCACCTACTGCGTGCCTGTCACTGGGCTGAGGTGCTGATACGCATCAGCTTGTGGAATTCTCACAGCAGCCTAGAGGCCGGTGCTGTGATTACTGCTACTTTCACATGAGTAAACTGAGGCTTAGGGAGGTTCAGAACTTCCCCTAGTCCACACCAATGCCAGGGATCTTGCATACCTCTCCATTCTGACTTTGAAGGGTCTTGCAACCTGATCCAATTTGAAAGCATAAGTCCTTCATATCAAGCTTTCAGTCCATTACACTTTAGTCTGAATTAGTTTCAAAGCATCCCTCTGATCAAGATGTCTGTATTCACAGGCTTGTGCCTGAGGCAGGACTGGCACAGCACAAAGTCTGTGGGCTTTCCTAGGGCTCATGAAGATGGGT